GCTGTAATTACAATACTCTTACCTACCACAGCTCCGACAGAACAGCTGAAATATTTGCTGACAGAAACACCATCATTAGGCTGACGGTAGTTATAATCAGAGTAGAGTCAACATTAGGAAAGCCTGCACACACTACAGTCATCTGAGAAGCAACAGTAGGACTTGCACATTTTAAAAACTGACATGAGTTCAAATCTGAATCTTGAGAAGTTTGGCAAGAATTACAGCAACGTAAGGAAACGAATGCCTGCAGCGTAAGTCTAAATGATGGGCTTGTAGAAAACATCTTCCTGTGTATAATGAAACTGCAGAGTCGTCAACTCTTTCCATACACCTTAACTCCCAAAATGATTAACACAATTAGAATATTCACAAATTTTCAGAGATGCTTTTCTTAAATAACCCATTTGTGACCTATACTGTTATGTACCTCTTTCTACTATTCCTTAACTAGTAAATTCTACATCAGTAGTCCTAGAAAACAAGTTATTTTGCTTATCCTCAGGAAAGTTTAGTAAAGCTCCTTCTTTCTTTACACCACCTTTGCCTTAGTTCCAAAAGTAGAAACAGACGTTCTTTTTTTAAATTGCAAGGTATCAATTAGTTGTTCCAGTGCTCAGAGCTGGTGTCCAAAGAGCCCCAGGGTGTTCAGCCTTCCAAAAAGCACTACAGACCTGTATTTGCAGGTGTGAGCTGTGTTGTGCTGTGACACAGGTTGGGGGCAGCGACAGTTTATACTGAAATAAGAAAAGTTTGGCATTTATGTCAAGTATATTCAGGAAAGAGATACCTTTTGTGAAGTGATTCTTGTATTTGCACTCGCCCATTATAATTACCTAAGTAAACTGCTATTTCGATTAATATTAACTTGAACAAATAACTGCAGCAGCTACTTTGGCATAATACAATATTCATTCACAAATTCTAGAGTAATTTCAAAAGCCTGAACTTTAAAACATCTTTCTGTGGTGGAAATAGAGACTTCTGGCAGGATTCCTTGAACTTTCTATTTAAAGCCAACCTTTTATCCACAGAAGACAATTTAGCTGTTCAAAACAAAAAAATGATGAAAAAATTATAGTTATTTTAGCATTCAGATTTAATTTACAAATTGTTTCACCCTCCTTAAAAAGGAACATGGCTACTTATACCATCAAGGTTTGGTGTTCTGTTTGTTTAGGTTTGTTCTGTTTTTCTTTTTAAAGAGCTTGAATTTTCCACTTTTCAAGTACGTACCCAACTTCAGAGTTTTGGTAGTGTCTCCCTTTGCCTGCGGAAATTATTTGATAAAACTAGAACAGTATTGACAAGTATACCTAAAAGCCATTGATGCCAACATTCAGTTTTGGAAAAAGAAGATGGTAATTTAAAAAAATGCATCCTTAGAAATCACTGTTCCTCCCACATACATCAACACGAGTGAACTCTGTGTGCATGCGCACACACATGTGTGTTGGTGGAAGGGTAATGAACACAGTCAACATTAGAATCTGGGGTTTAAAAATTATGCCGTTTGTTTTCACATCAAACAGAGAAGCTAGTTACACTCTCTGGGTGGCTATTTACATTTAGCTACAACTTTGTGAAGATCCTGCACCATATACTACTCATACTCCTCACTCTGCTAAGATCTTTCATGTGGCACATACAGGTCCACCCAGATGACCAAACAATGAACTTAAACCACCATCATTGATCTTACTAATTGCATCTGCCACCTTACGTGGTTCTTGTTTCTACTGGGCTTTCCAAGCACTTTTCTGATTGTTAAACGGTCAGAATACACAAAGTGACAGATTTAGTGCTTCCTTGGCAATTTATATAACTGACTGCAACTCTGTTGTTGCAGTGAATCATGATTTATTTGTCTCGCAATGCAGCACATAACCTTTTAAATGCTAGGGAAAAAAAATGGCAGCACTTCTTTAAAGTTTATATATGACTGCCCACCACCATTCCTCATGCACACGGTTTCGAGAGACAAATGATAAAAACAAGCTGCAAATTCCACCCACCTACTCCCGGCCATTTCCTACGCCCATCACTCACACGTACTGTATTTACAGACAAGCATCCTCACCCAGAGCACCAGGGTACTCTTTCCGTCCCCTTGTTTCCTCCTGGCCAAGAATACCTCTTAAATTAGCGATAGGAATTCTCTGCTGAGCAGAGAGGAGGATAATCCTGATTTCCCACAGCCCTCTTACTAGTGCACGCCACACTCAACCACATCAGGTGAAATTAAGAGCAGACTGTAGGGTTTTACTTATTCGCATCTCTCTCAGTTCCAAAACTGTGATCCCAATGCCTGTATGCAGCCTCTTCTCATACCCTACTCTCCGTGCCGCCTTCTGCACTTACTTCCATGACCTTTAAAAACCAGTTTAATGTACTCTTCCCTGTTTCTCCTCATCCAAATACATTTTTATTCTGGTGTTTATACTGTGCCCATCTCCCTAGTAAATGAACTTCTAATGACTTGCTGCTGTCTGCCAGTGCCCAAACTAAGTCAGTCAAAAAGCCTTCAGCCACCTTTAATTATGAAAGTGCTAATGAGAGAAGAAAGATTGTTTACTTTAAATGGAATGGCAATACCTCCAATTAATGCAAATAGGATCTGCTCCCTGAAAAGCTATTTAACCAACATGCACAGCACGAAGTATTTGGATAGTTCTCCTTACATTCTAATTCAATTTTAAAAATTTAGAAGGGAGAACTCCGTAGATAAAATTGTTTTTCCTTAGATGGTGACTACGGAATTAGCAGTCCATTCATTAGGGTGTAACACTCACATACCACCTTTCATTGGCAGACTTCAAAACTGTCTGCAAGGGCTGGTTCTCTAAATTGCCCTAGTTTGCAGAAGGGAAAACAGAGCTGCAGAGATGAAGTGACTTTTTCTAATCATTCAGCAGATTCATGCTTCCCTCTGGTCTGCTCCTACCTGATCTCAAACAAGCCCTCCAAAGCCTACCCTGGTGCTCCATTTACTAAAATCCATTCCCTAAACGTTTGCCTAGATGCTGAATAAACAAGGACAGTGTTTTGCACAGTAAAATATGCTTGCAAGTTGCACAAGTCACAACTCAAAGCTTCAGTGTAACATGCTCTGGCAATATACCCCCATATCCAGCCTGTTTTAAATACCTGAGACAGTTCTAGTACTACGCATGGCACAGACTGCAACAGAAATGATGCCAACGGATCATAAATGAGAATCTTGAGTAAGGCCATGAAATGAAACATTGGTAAATTCATACATGAAAAGTGTAGTCTGTAGAACAGCATTTGAGTAACAAAGAATGGAGCTGACAAGGACTCAAGCTGTGCCAATCTTGGATCAGATGGGGCAAAATTACAAGTCCTTTTCCTACCAGATTGTGATATTGTTCTAGAATGTAAACCAGTGTTAACTAGAAGGAGAAATGCTTCCCTTGGCCATCCTGAGTTCTGCAGGTCAGTGCAGAATAAACGCCAAGAATCTGCTTTCAAACATTTCCATTTGGTTTGGACTAGGATGGTAAAACCATTTAAAATGAATTTTCTGTTATGCTTGTAAGGCAAGAGCATGTTTAGAACATTTAATTAGCCACAGAAGGTGGTTAGACTCAGTGCAGTATTTAACATCCACTTTCTGGAAAAAGCAAGGCTGTAATTTAGGAAGCTACAGAAAAGTACATTTACAGATACTTCTGAAATGTTACTGCTGTTGAAAGAGACTTTATTAATAAATATGACTTTGACAAAAGGCTAAAGAAAGTATACCTGTGCCAAGGAATAAATATCTAAAATTAAGGAAGTGAGAGCAACTTTCATCTACCAGTCGAGAGAAAAAAATGGTACTCAGCATCATATAGCCCGCTAGATTGAGAAAGGCAAAACACCCCATGGTGGTAAACAGAATCAAAAGAAACATCTTCCCCCACCCCATACAAAAAACCAAATACTTTCCTTTGCTGCATACATTGCAGGCTGTCACATTTATGCACACAGCTGCCATATTCTCTAATGGGTCAAAGCAACTTCTTACAACAACTAATGATTTTGCTTTCTCACGCTAGCTTCTGTCACTGTCTTTCTGCGTTTTGGGAACTATTATTTAGAGGGTACTAGTAGAAACAATAAAGCTTCCATATGTAACAGTCCACTATAACAAAAAAAAAAATGGAATAAAGCCTGTGTAACAGGTATTTCAACAACAGGTAATTGATGCAGCTACGTTATTCCTAACAAAAATATTTTTAAAGATTACCATAAAAGGTCTAAAACCAAATTCTGGCTTGGGGCAAACAGGGACGAGCTTCATTGAAGTTAATGGCCCTCACAAAATGGAATGCAAATTCAGTAAAATCAATACTTAACTTCTAAAGAAAAACCTCTATAGGTTGAAAGAAGCCACTTGTAATCATATTTAAATGGCACATATCACCAATTTAGAGTACATCAACCAGCTCCACTGCTTTAAGTGAAATAACTTTCAACTCACTAAGAAAGATAGGCTATTGAAACAGAAAAATGAAAAATTCCACTAATTGAGCTATATTTTACTCTAGTTGATCAAACTTCCATTTTTACAGGAACAGTCACAAGAAAAGCAACTTATACTACAATCATTTTTGCTTAATATAATTTTAGCTGATCCAAGCAACATTCTCAAAACCCAGCCAGAGACAAGAATAGCTTTGCAGACCCAATACTTATGTTGTATTATATAAAGCAAGATGCTGTATAAAAATTGGCTGTCAGGTGTACTAATACACAAGGAAAATGCAACATAGAAACAACTAATAAAACTAAACACACATCATCTTCTGGCTCCTCCAGCACATCCAGTAGGAGTGAAAAAGTGAGTGTTTCTCAGGGGAAAGTAAATATTTGCAGCAATAATGACTTAAGCATAATAATTTCCTGGAGTTTAACAACTGTTTTTGTTTCAGAAGAAACACAGTGCATCATTATCATTGCTATTCAAATAAATAAGTAATCATCCATAATCTTACCTAGCTCTGGGGGCAGCACAGTAAGACGATTTCCCTGGATATGAAGTTCCTTAAGGTGAGTGAGCTCACCAATTTCTTTAGGCAGTGATATCAGGTCATTGTCTCTAAGACTCAGCTAGGAGTGAATATAAAGTAGTCAGAACAACTTTCCATTACCATAAAGCAGTCTAAAACAGAACTCTACTCCCTCTACCCCCACCTTTCTCCTAAACACTCAATTCTTCCAAATTATTTACAACTGTCTGCTCGTAAACAAGAAACAGTTCCAGGTGTAGTGGTCTATTCCTGCAAACATACCCTACTACTCCTCAAATTGACTAGATTCTATTCCTACAAGTGTTGCAAAAGTGAATTGATTTTCCAAGAATTTAGATAAATTACTTACTATCTGCAACTTTGTGAGCTTCCCAATATCTGGCGGCAGGATTTCAAAATCGTTGTCACTTAGATAGAGTGCACGCAGGGTGGCTGCAAATTAAATAGCAATATATAAACAGGGTGGCACATAACCCAACCATTTGAGGTCTAATCAATAAAGGGAGTCAGGTTTGATTAATAACCCTGACTTGGTGAAAGCCTTTGACATACACAGGCTCGCAATAACAACAAGCAGGTCAAACTTAGATTTACTGTCTTATTGTATTCTTGGGGAGTTCAGGAAAACATCTATATTCAAAAAGACTGTCACAATTAACAATTTCTACAATAGTAGACTCTGGCAGGTTTTGGCTTATAGTCTCAATGCTTAGCTGTCAGAATACACACATTACTGTTACATCAATTCACACCCAAAACAAACATTAAAAAAAAAAATCTGAGTTTTTTTTATGAGTGCATATCTGTGTTAAGCTCTATAGAAAGCACAGCCTAATATGGGGAAAAGGCTTTAAGAGAGAGAGCAGTGCAGAAGAATCAAACTGTATAATTTGTATATGTATAATATGTATAATTTGTAATTTCCATGCTTATTCTCCATGAAATTCACAGAAAAAGACGACACAGCACAACCATGGAGCTTGCTATTACTGGATTACCATACGTGACAATTGGAAAGTCAATTTAAATGGAGACTCGCAGAGAACCTTTGGGTGCAGCGGGACAGAAGGTGGTCAGGTCAGCAAAACCTCTTCTCTCCACCAGAGTGGAGATCCCTTTTGTCTTACACAGTTTACTCCTCCCTCCTCTTTTCAGTTCATTATATGTGACCATTTCTAATAATGCTGACTTAAATTTCCTCTCCCAGGTTTCAGTCACAAAACCTCTCCGTCAGTGGCACTCCTTTCTGTCCCCTCGCCTGTCACTCTTGCTGCTACATGCACTGATCCTGAAGCCACTTCAGCACAGCACGCTGAAAAGACCAGTAAAGTAGCAGATTCACTGAAATCCAGAAAGTGCCAGAATTCAAGTTGCTTAGGCAACCATAATGCAGCTCTTTTGCTCTTACGCATTACAACACCTTTAACGCTCCGAGTGTGTCATGTGCAGGGTCAGCTTAGCTTTACCATTCCCTGCCAAGCTTCGTAACCTTAGTGTACTTGCTTACATACTGGACACCTCAACATCCATACGCTGTTAAAATTATTTTGGTGATGAACCAGCAGGAACACAATTGTTTCTGGAGTCAACACACAACAGCTGCCTTGCAGAACAGTCTCCTTCCCCCTGAGGCTTGCAAGATTCCAAAGTTTCAAGTTTTAACTGAGTATAGGACTCAAGGAAATATTACTCAGAAGAAAACTAATAGACCATTACTAACCAAGTCTTCTTGTGTCCAGTGGTGTCAGGTGACTGTATATCAGTGATAAATATTACTGAGCTATGTAGAAATATTCAAGAGATATTCAAAGAAAAACATAAATATCAGAAAAAATTCTGTTGGAGTTTGGTGTCTGTCAAATAAATTTCAACTGCAGAAAGCAAAGCACCATATCATGAAGATTTGTAGATCTTTTAGAAAAGTTTCTTACTCAGATAGAAGAAGTTTCCTGGTAAAGAATTTTCATTTAGGTTGTTGTAAGTCAAGTCAAGAACCTCCAGAGCTGGTAAAGAGCCAAATCCCCTTGGCAAGGTGTTTAACCTGTTCATGCTGTAGAGGAAGAGTTAAAAAACAGAACATGACATCAGTATGCACTTCATCTGGTAGGAATAATACAGGCAACTAGAGTTTCACTCCTGAAAAACAATCTAAACTACCTTTTGTTTTGAAAAGGGCTTGATGCTACAAGATACCAAGCATATCTCTTACTGCCATCAATATGCCCAAATCTTATATGCTCAAAGGATCAACAGCTGCACCTGAAACACAAAGCACCAAGGGGAGAGGTGCCACAGCGCTATGCTCAGCTTAAACAGCGTGCCGTGGAGAAAGCTGGTCCTTGGTCGATGACCTACCTTCTCGCTAAACTACAAATTACCCTTTTGCACATCATCCTGATCATCTGCCATTCCCCTGTACCACAGGGTTCTTCGCCATGGTACCAAATACAACAAGGAATATGTCCACTGCACGGTATTTATGTTCATTAGTAACTGCTGATCAAACCCCTTAAGAACAGCAAATTTGTGTCACTAGATAACTATTGATGCACATGGCAGCATCAAGTAACTAAAATGTCAGTCCTCTGATTGATGAGGCTTAGTCTAACTACCTCTTGTTCCGTCAGTCTTAGAGGGTTTAGGATAGCAGATCCCACTCGCAACAGCCAGAAGAACATAAGGAAAGCCAACAGAAGAAGGTTTCTGATAACCTGAAGCAGACAAGCTACAGAAAACTGTAACTCACCTCTGACCTCATAAGGCTCAAATAAGGTGGTGCAGATAATCGCTAGAGCTGCTGCAGCGAAGAAAGGCAAGGAGCTGGAGATGCTATTCATAGCACCTTACTGTTTGCGTATAAGCTCAAGCTCTGGCTGATTATATGAACAGAAAAGAACTACCAGCTTATTATTTATACTGTCCTATTGCATGTACACCAGACAAAGCTTGCATGTACGGCTCTTGCTTCGGTTGTCACCTGGGTTTAGGAGTGGAACAGGAAAGAGAGCTGCCTATACATGCTCTTCCCAAAGACACCTGTTTTGAAGAACTGGATTTTATTCTTATGTGGCTATTGGAAACAATCGTGACCTTTCACACGTTATCTCTAAACATATTCCGAAGTTGACTGTGCTGATGCAAAAGTGATAAATAGCAATAGCCACAAATGAAATCAAAAGGAGATGTAATGTGAGTGTATGAAGCATGATGTAAGACTAAACTATGAAAACTCAAGTCAAAGCATCGACAAAGTTGGGTACCCAAAAATAAAGACTTTTGGCTCTAATCTGTAGGGCCTTCCCTTCCCAATACAAGTTCTGTCAAACACGGTGCTATAGTACATGATAAATAGTGTGAAATACACCTGTAGGACAGTTAATAAGCCCCGCTTCTAAAAGTTCTTTGGACACTGAATTAAACACAAGCAGCTGCACCTCCAGACTAAGCACAATGGCTACACACGCATGTGAGCACAGGAGCACTTGTATGTGCAAGAAAAGCACATACAACACTACTTTTACAGACACTCAAATACTACCCTCACCTTCCCTCTCCCACTTTTGCATAAGCCAGCCCCAACAGAACAAGAACCTGTAAAGATCAGCTCTGTAGCTAAACCCTAGATAAAGTCCTCTTCCTCCTCATCCCTCACAAGAAGTCATACCAAGGACATGCACCTACTATTTATTAGTGTTGTAGTAGTAGCTATTAAAAAACAGAAAGGCATTCTCTGCTCTTGCTACTACAGGCTTGCCACTGTTTTTAGAACTGTTTTTATATGAAATAGGACTAAAGAAAGCAGCTCCTCTTTCACCAAGAGAATAAGTGGCCCTGACAGCCTTGCCTTTTGTAAAGCAAGGAACAGGGAGAGAAAGAGCATTCTCACTATTGACAACAGGCAGAATTGTATCTATTCTTTGGCATGGACAAAAGCAGCTGAAGTCCCTGCCCAGCACTATTCAGCCCTGCAGAACTGTGCCACAGAAACCATGCCCCTCCTGCCTCCCAAATTTTATTTTTTAAGCTTTCAGTGCAGCAGTACACCTTCCCTCTTTCCACCCCACCACTTGACGCTGCTGCACCAAAATCCTCCCTGAAATAATCGATGCGTTTATTCAAGTTCTCCTCTATCCCAGAGGGCTGTTTTGATGCCCTATGTGTACATGTGCACTGCAGATGACAAGAGGGTTTCTGGGCTGCACACCCCTGCCAGCCTACCTACTACAAGATCTTGGGCTCCGTGACACATGAAGATGACAACTATGGTTCCAGACCTAAAGTGTCTGCTTGTCTTAACCCCAAGTGGAGTTTTGCATTACATTTTTTCCATTAATGAAGACCAGTATTTGAACTGCAGTAGCACTTGTCACTGCTTTAATCCATGGAAAGTGCCCAACTTCCTCCTCCTTCCATACACTGCAACTAGCTAAACACTCTGAAGTCATAATTGCCAAGTTATCCTCACAAACACTGTCAAAAGAAATTTTAATAGCGAAAAAATAAGAAGTCCCAGGTTCAGTTGTGACAACATTTAACAGTACTGCTATTACAGCAAGTTCTTGCACTGAGATACGCACCCAAGATTCAGGTGTTTGAGCTTCTGAAGGCTGCTGATCTGTGTAGGCAGCTCCTCAATCTGGTTGTTGAAAAAGTTGAGCACTTCTATGTTTCTCAGGTCTGCGATGTTTGCTGGCACAGCTGTGGGAAAAGTTTCCTCAGTGAGAGACTGCATGCAGTTAGAGAAAGCTACCGAGACTACAGATGCTCTCCTAGCACCTCTCTTTTGCTCTGTTTGTACAGTGGCTGACAGCAAAAACACCACCTAATAGCTATTGCAATAAAAGCAAAGTTAGTATCAAAAAACCTCCTATCTGGAATCTGTTGTCATTCTGAAAAGTACAAAGTGACTGCTCTCAGCAAAATTACTACCAGTATTGTACGACATTTTGACTAACAGACTATTGCAGAGAGAGGCAAGGACAACAAAAGCTCTCGTAGACTAACAAAGAGAAGCAGGCTGCCCTCCGAGCTCACGTAGCACACAGATCTCAAAAGAGCAGAGCCTGAGAGACTCGCATCACTTCACAGAGTTGAAAAAATGAATGATCCAAGTAGTTACACCAAGACAACAGTTTTATTCAAGGTCTTTAACAGTAAACATGAAAAAAAAAAATTTAGCGATGGCTCATTCTGCTTACTGATTAAATAATCTAGTATCCAGCTTCTGGTCTATTCAAGATACAACAAAATTCACAAAAAATTAAGTTCAGTCCTAAAAGATGAACTGTCCAGCCAAGCCCATTTTCAGTTACTTCATGAGTGAATAACTAACCAATCAATACACCTACATGGCAACATTGAACTACCAACAAATTAATGTCTGGTTATTATCTAGAAACATGAGACAAGGTGAAACACAATATAAATATGTCTGTGCAAGAGAGGTTAAGAAGCTATTCAGATTTGCATCTTTTCTCCCTTAAAACTAGTGAGCTTTAAGCAGGCAGCTGAGGTTGACATAAAAGGAAGTTGGCAATTCACCTGTACTGGAGCTTGCACCTGCGTTCAGTATTCACCTTGGTGCAGTCTCAGCTTTGCCCGCCTCAGGAACCCACAGAGTGCACATCTAAATAATTAGAAGTTTTTACGAGGCCATGATTTTCTTTAATTTGTTGGCATGAGGCAATCTCAGTCTTAAAATGGAGTCAATGTTTACAAAGCAGAACATTGTAGTATGTCACATTTACTAGATTATAAGTCTAATTACACTGCAAACAATAACGGGATCCCTAACAAACACTCTGATTACACTACATAAATATTACTGTTGAGTGTCATATTCATTGCAGGACACTTTTAGCAGACTTTTTTTATAAAGTCATAAAGGCAAATCCGAACACTTAAAAGCCCTCCCTTTGCGGTATTTTCCAACTGGTCCATGCATAGCTGTCACTCAATGATAGCAAGAATTATGTGCCTTCAGAAAGTAAAGGGTAATGTACTACTATTGTTGTTTTAAATTATTTCCCCAGCAGAAGTTAACTGAGGATTTTAATTGACATAATTCAGCTGTTTCAAGCCTCAATATTTCACCAGAACAGTAATTACCAGTATTAAAATGTTTTCCTTTCAGAAATTAGACTTTATAATTTGACTTTGATGAGATGCAATGGACTGGCAAACCATGTTTCTGCTCGTCTCAAACGGATACTACTCTTATGCAATACTAGGAATCAGAAGTACTAGCAAATAGAGGTTTTAGTTAAGCCAAAGTCTAAACAATGCAGACACAAAATCCAATTCTCCTGAAGTTATACTGTTGATGCAATTAAAAAAAAAATTGCTATGAAGGTTTCTGCCTTTTTGACAGTGCAAAAGATTACACTCTCCTAGAAAAAAACACCAGTGCCACTTAACCTATGCTAAACGCAATGCAGAGCTCTGTTGTGGGAACACTGAAGCATTCAGGAGGCCACACTTACCAAACCTACGGTCAGCTTGGCTGCCTATGTGTCAGTTCTGTATTTCAGTTATTCAGGTTGAACACCATCACCAGATGATAAAGAAATTAAGAAGCTGTTATCCAAGACACTGAGATTTCTCCAACCCCATTAAAACAGTACATCTTACACCATGGACAATACTATCACTACAAAGACAGGAAGCTGATGAAACACACTCAATCGTGCTGGAAGGCCAGACTACAGAAACTGTCAGACTACAGAGACTATTTTAGTGCTACATTCATGCGAGGAAAGCCAACACTATCAGATGTGGGTTTCAGTGGAATCAGTGTTTGTTAATGGGCAGCTTACATTTAGTCAGTCCTATCTACAGTGGGTTTAGTTACCTAATGACCTCTTGCTTCATGGAGCAGCATCAAAGCTGTTCTGCATCTGTGAACAGGCCAAAAGAACTCTCCAAGCAGCCAGACAGAGTCCAAACAATAAGTGACATCAAAGCAAAAAGCTGGAACCAGTTACTGAGCTACCTTGAACTAGCAGCACTGATTTAGTAGATGTGTCCTTTCAAATACCTATGTGAACCATCTTGCTTCCCCCTTTAAGAATAAACGGATTCTTAAGTTTGTATCTCACTTCTGACTTAAGCTAGGAAACTGAGAATCATTTCAAGGAAGAAGGTGAACAGCCATCTTTAAAAAAAAGACAACAAACAGAAAAACACAGAACCCACAAAAAACCCCCACCACACCCACAAACCAACAACTAACCAAAAAACAATGCAAAAAAAGCTGATGAAACTACCTGGGAAAAGACAACACCCAGACAACAAGACAGGAAGAAAACGGCTTCCAGAGATTAGAAGATCACATCAAAGAGCACCTTTACCTTAATGGGTTACTACACAGCTGAAGTGTCTCAAATTCTACCTGCTTATCCCACTTGCAAACACAAGGCAAAAATTCAGCTTCCATTGGTTAGTTTATCAGAGGTTTGTAATATGGTTTTCTTTTGTCAGGGCACAGGTGTTAAGTGTCCCTAGTGAACCACAGGAGCTGTGTCCTTGCACACTGTCCGCTACGTTTCCGAGATATCCGTATAACTCCCACACACCATTTCATGTTGTGAATCCCACTTAGGATACTTTATATCACTATTTTCTTCAAGCCATACTAAAAGCTGCATGGGTAAGCAGGCTGAGATGAGAAAGGCTAAAAATTTAGCAAAGGATTTAGATGAAATACTTTGTGTCTCACCCGACTACATCAAAATATAAAAGGCCCAATCCACAACTGTGATTTCTGTTTGGATATAGGGGACGGAGGTATTTTGGGAGAAGGAAAACCAGAGGAGTAGGTCAAGACCAGGCTTGTGGTAGGGGAGAAAGGGCTTCTTGCTGTAAGAAACAGATTATTTTCTGGTTCAACAATTCAGATTCATTTGTAATATGAATGAATGCTCTTTTGGATTCAAAGGAAAACAGAAGACAGAAATTAACTCCTGTACTGTTCTTGTAGCTGAACTGCAGAGGTTCAGTGCCTTCAGGTGTGAAGGTCAGCAGTGGTCAAGCACTGACCAGGCATATAATGTCTTCTGCTCCGAGCTTTACATGACGAAGTTCATCCTGACTACCATCCCACTGCTATGTTGCAAAACTCTTCCCAGATATATAACAGACTGCCAAATACCCAGAAATTCATGTTCTGGCAATACTGAACTCCACTCAAGTCACCTTCTCATGATGAGCTGTGAGAGTGAACTGTCAGCATCCTGGTTCCATTCACCCACATATTTACAGTACGATCCACAGTGTCTTAACAACTCCTCTAAGACCATCTGCTGCCCAGTGTCATTAACAACTAAACTCCCCCTCAGCAAATGCTAGTAAAATTTGGCAGCCCAATGCCTTTGCATTCTCCTGTGAAGCTTCAGTCACATCATGAAGCCCCATTCATGTCTCACTTGACAAGACCAGAACAGCTTCCTTCCCCCTGGTCAATACTGGAAGCTGCATACAGTGATTCACTGTGACAGCTATAAACTCCTGATTTCAAGAGCTTGGTTGAGAGTGAAAGAGAGGGTCTACAGGTTGCAGACCAAGGAATAAGAGGACCTTGTTCACACTCCTTGAAATAAGGCAACTTGTTATACTTCAAAGCTTTTAAAAACAAATATGCTCTTTTTGCCCTGAGGTTAGTGGCAGTTCTTTAGGGGCTAAAATACATTCTCATCAAAGCAGCCTTTCACTCAAGGCACACTATTAAATCTTATTCCTACATAAGCAGCAACTGTCCAAAAGTTCTGATAAGAGTTCCAAAACATATTTAAGAAGGATTAAATGCTGCTGTTCAATGCCTATATAACTCCACACCTAAGTATCCTGGCTCTGGATCTTAGTTCTCTCTCCACATCAAGAAGCCAACAACTGGAGACCTATCCTTACCAGAGGTCTGATGTTGGCCTCTGTTGGAGAACAGATACTGGGGTTAGACAGACCTTTTTTGATACAGCTGTCATGCAGAGCAACATGCTAAGAACATTTAAATGAGTTAAACCAACTTGGAGTCAAGTGTCTCAGATGTAACCCTTCCATGAAGCAGGACGTCAAATGGTTCTCATACCACTACCTAGAACTGACATCTAGATCCAAGCTCACTTTTCATACCCAACCTATCACAAAGGAGGAAGAAAACCGAAAATGGAAGAGTAATAAAACAGAGGTGTATTTCTTTCCCTCCAGTTCCACTCCACCGCTCTTTAGTCATTCACCTAGGTTTCAGTGCCATTCCTCTTGTGGTGGCAGGGCCCCCTTCATACAGCTGAAATGCAGAGGCTTCAGAAAAATCCCTGTTTCTGCAAATGATCTCCAGGTTTATTACTCTTAAAGCTTCTGTAAAGCACTGGAAAACAACACGAATACTCACAACTTTAAAAGTAAACAAACTCAGGTATTTTCAAGACAAAGTCTCCATTTGCTTTTCATCTAAAAGATGAATTCTAGTCTAGGTTTTTTTTGTAGTTACTAGTGATGAACATTAAATCAAACATTTCTGAAGACACTCCTTAATTAGAGACCCATATCGAAATTTTCTTTAAAATTTAAAACTAAAATATAAAACGTTTTTGACACAGAAGCTCAGATGAAAAACGTGACAAGAGTCAATGAACTACCCAATTGGGCAAGTGAAATCATTTACTAAAAATGTGAAGTCTCCATGAGAGGAACACAGGATATGT